AGCTCAGCAGGGGACGGCCTGCGGCCCAAATAAGAGGGCTGATCGGCAGAACAGCTGTTTAAAAGTGATCGCACCTAACTACTCTGCTGTAGTCTTCCTTTTCCTCTTTAGCTTTCATCACTTTGGAGTTCACAAGATATTTTCACTGTTACCCATTAATTACAGTGCCAATCCCTTTATGAAACATTTGTAAACAGAGATGCCCTTTAGGACGCAAGGATTAGAGTTTCAGTTGCAGTGGATTTGTTGGTTGCAAGTGAGTTAGGAGGAAGCAAGCAGGGAGAAGAAATCTAGAAAGAGCAGCGATCCGTGGTTGTTTCTTTATTCACTTAAACTGAACTATTTCTATTACACAGTGTGGGAAAAAAAAAAAATTCCATTCTGTAGTTGTGTTTTTCTACAGCTGTAATGATCTAAGGACATAAGCATACTAACATCTGTAAGTAGAGGTAATACTCCATACCAGCTGGCATAAAGTCTAATTTTCTAGCTATACTGGTTGATCCAATAAAAGATGCTACCTCTCCCTACAAAGCTTGTCACAGGAAAATAACTGATGAGGATTAGAAGATTTTCATTAATAACCTCCAAGCCTAAATCTCACATGTGATCTCCCAGCAGGAGAGCCAGAAAGTAGAGTCAATGTACTTGGCTTCCTTTCTTCTCATTTTGCTGTCCTGGGCTAAGACATACTGATTGCTCTAGTATTATCACAGAGTCATCCTCCATGGCCCACCTTACAGTTAGTAGCAAGAAAAATGGTCTATGCTTGTGCAAAAGGTTCCTAACCCTTTTTAAAGTCAGTATTACTGTTGCCACCTCTTCTCTTTCTCTTCCTCCATCTCAGCTTCTCCCTACAGCTACTTTTTTTCTGCAACCCTCTCTCCAACTCCAGATACCTCCTGACACATCTTCATCTGTCCTCCCCCCAAAATTCTCTTCACCAACCCTTTTCACACATGAGATCCCCAGCTCCCACTGGAAAAGCTTGGCAGCTCGCACTCTGCAACACTTCATTTCTAATGCTGGGAACCTTTGTCCCAAGAAAACCAAATATTCGGCTGGGAGTAAGAGTACATTCCAGTTACACCAGTCATTTATCATAGTCCTGCCCCATACTTGTGCCAGGCAGCAGAGTAAATAAGTAACATCTGTCACAAGAAGAGGTACAAACACTAGTATGTTCTGGAAGTCATCATAAAAAAATGCTCAAATCTGACAATACATAAAAAAACTCCCGGAGGGAATACAAATAGGAGCTAAAAAGATAAAGACTGACAACCCCCAGAGCCCTCATATTACTAGAGCAATTGCCTGCTACAGCAGAGGTGGTAAAGCTCTGTCTAGACATTAGCACGAGCTGGCTTTGCTTCTCTAGCCTGCAAGGGACTTGAAGGTCTCTCACACTCACTTACAAACAGAATCAGAAAATATGGGGTTTGAAAAGAATCATTTTATTAATCTTCCCAAAAGAAAGTTCTCCGATAGGTTTTCAAGGACATTAATCTGACCACCAAAAACAGGAGCACGCAGTACTGAGCGGCTAGGAGCTATTTTGTTTGCCCATACTACAAAAACAAAAACAAAAAAATCTAAGCCTACCCATGCCCCAGCCACACCATGTCAGGCTGGTTTAGTTTTCTGCCTCCAGTCACCACCAGCCAGCAGTGCAAAACTCCTCTCCTGATGGCCACTGTCGGTTTCCCATTGTTGTTCCCTGAGGTCCAGATAATCATCTATTTTTGGAGGAGCAGACCTCCAAGAATTTAAGGTCTTTGCAAAGGTCAGTTGGTGACATGCTGTACTGTTCTTATCCGAGACCTTTGTTCAAGCAACAAAACATTTAACTCCCTCTTGCCTCATGTGTGCATCTGTCTGTTGAAGAATCCCTGAATCTAAATAAAAAATGGAAGGGGAAGAAAGCATAATCATTAAATTAAAGGGTAATTAATATATTCTGTCCCTTTATTATGACAGTATATTTCCCAGCTGGGGTTTTTTTTCCAGCTAATTTAATGTCCTATAAAGGCTATTCAAAGGAAGGATTTACACAATAGCGAGAATGGGGAAAGAACAGATATAACACCACAACTTTTAAATACAAAGATTTATCATAGTCTTAAGTTTTAAATGATTAGTTGATCTTATAAGACACCGTTCAAATCTGCAATTGAAGGCTATTGGAAATATTCATTACACGACCCATAACAATAATAGTAAGACTTGTGAAAGTTATTAATGTTGCCAGCTTAGCACATAAAAGACGAGAAAACCTCAAAGATACATTTCCTCTGTGTATAAAACTATCAAAAAATTGAATTTAGGAATTTGTTAGGGATGCACTAGGGACCTGATGTTTTGTTTTAGCTGTCTCTGAAAATGTCATTCATGCAGGTGTTAACAGCTACTAACATGGAAATTATTAAAAATAGAACAAGCTGCAGAACAGCTGAAACTGTCACCTCCCTGTTTCTCTCTTTCAGACCGTCAGTTTGGAAGTCTGGCTTTCATCCTGCCTCTCCTCATCGCCTTATACAAGGTTATGTTCAAACTGGGGAAATTAGAAATCACCTCTAAGTCAAACAGTGTCTGAAATCTGCCCACAAATTGGTTCTCTTTGTCCAACCTAAATTTCATAGCCCACAGAATAACAGTGTCATTCTTGCACAAATGATCAAAAGTTAGGAGGAGTTCATCCAGGAAGGGATGGTGGTAAACTACATCAGCAGCCATAATGTAGTCAAAGTGACAAGAAGACCTAGGAAAGTTCTTTTCCAGATCAATTCCCCAAGACAATTCCTTAACACGAGGCTGGTGCTTGCATTTCAGCTTTGTATTTTGGTGAATGTTGTGCTGAAGGTTTCCCAGCAGTTCTGGCAAATCAGTGGCAGTCACAAGTGCACCTGTGACAGGGAGAAAACAAACGTGATCTTTGAATGTACATCAAAACTTGAGTAAAAGCCCATTCACAAAAGCCACTGTACAAGGAACTTTTTACCAAGTAGCTCTCACTGAGGGGAACAGAAGAATGTAAATGCTCCCAATAGCTATTAGCCATTGTGCTTAAAATAAGTATTTGGTTCCCAGTAGTTCTACTCTACAGATTGCCATCTAAATGCTGCTGGGGATGGGTGGGGAGAAATCAGATACTTACTGCATCTTGATATCATGTTGGTTAAAAGTACAGTGAGCGACTAGGGATTGAAGAATGCCAGTTACTGACTCCAAGAAGTCAGCATGAGATTTAAGTATTGCCTCAAGTTCTTTCCTTTTCACTTCCTTTCACAAGGAAGAAGCTTTCTCAGACTACAGAAAGCTAAAATTCTGTAAAATGCAGAAGTCACTGATCTGGATTACTCTTGAGGAAGAATAGGCTACCATGACAGAAGACACAACAGTGTCTGTAGCAGAAAAATCAAATTGCTGATCAGTTGCTGAAAGGAAATGCTGAACACAAATGGAAAGAAAGTGACCTGGCATCCAAGAGCTGTTTGGTCAGTGGAAGGTGATGCATTGGTCATACCTACATCTGGCTTCATCTGGTTGCCACTGACATCCTGTGAGGCCACTAGTTTCTTATCTTGGTCCCCTGCTTAATATCGTTAAAGACAACATCATCCACTGGGACCTCCTTTATTGCATCAATACACTGACAGCTTTACAGAAAAAAAACAACAGAGCAGGTTTCCAAACAAGCCTTTTGGAATGTATTTTTCTTACTCTTGGAAGCTTTCAAACAACAGCCTTTTAGAAGAACTGAGCCACTTCCTTTGTCCTCCAGTATTCACCTGAGATATGTTTCCAAGAGCATAAGAGCAATGGCATGTACTCACCCAGTAAACTGGCTACTATGGAGACCAACCCAGTTCCAGCTCCAATTTCAATCACATTTTTGTCAACCAAATTGTATTGTTTAGAATTAGTTTCCAGAAAATAACATAGAACAAGAGCCTGTAGGGGAGGGAATCCATGAACATACTAAACAAATAAATAAAATAAACCCCTTCACTAAATATGCATTGTCATTTAAAAGCATGCAAAAAAATTCTTGTCTGTTCAAATGAGCAATATTCATTCAAGCTCTGTCCCTAAAGGATCACAGCTCACTATGATCTTTGAGCTCTATAGGCTGACAAAACATATGCCACAACATGCCTCAGTATAGGTTTGCAAAGCATTACAGCCAGAAGGAACAACTGCAATTATCTAATCTGTCACGCTGCATAACATGAGCTATAAAACTCCAGTCAGCAATTCCTGCTTATAACTGCACATACTTGTGGTTGAGTTAAAAGACATCTTCACAAAGACATCTTGATATAAGGACTGCTTGTGAGAGAAAATCCACAACAACCCTTGTTAAGCTCTTCCAATAGTTAATTATTTCTAACTATAATTACTATAATGATTCAAAAGGGACCAATAGATTCACCCATTTTCTTCCCGTTCGTTTTCAGTTTCTATGTGCTTACCTTGTTAAGCTTAGCAAACTTTTACAGCAAACAAAGCCACACAGAGCCCTGTACAACAGACTCCTCAGCTGAACTATGGCCGCACTTCTTAAAAACAGTACAATCCTAGGAGGCTGATACTGTTGGGACAGAAATGGAGCCTCCTGGGTTTTAGTTCTCTCCCTCCTATAGGCGATCCTGGAGATGGTTCTGTTTCAGGGATGTTCTCTCAATGCCGCAAGTGACAATGGCGCATCGTGGCACCTCCCTGACCGCAGTGGTTTCTTTCACTCTTAATTATTTCAAAACAGTCAGTTAGCTGCATGGCACAGATTCAAAACCTTGAAGAAAGCTCTTTGTATGGTGGGCATGTTGATGGTTCTTATATCAAGAGCCAAGGACGATGGTTCTCTCCCACTAGATTTCTGGCTGTTTAAGAAACTGAAAGCTCCAACTGAACTTTTTCCCATGTCTGCATATTTACAAGGTAAATTTGTTTGTCACATGAGTAGGTTGAGGAGCTTCTATGAGTGCTAATACCTTGTGAGCTCATATCACAGCTGTTTCCACAACCTGGATCTGCCCACTATACAGCCGTCCGTATTTATAAAATGTACATAAATGTAATCACCCTAAGACTGCCATATTTCCTTCAAAATATGCTTGTAATTGGCCAATAGGATCAAAAGTTACTGGTAGGTGAGGAGGGCACACAAGATCATACATCTTGTGTGATAGGGGCACAAACAAGAAATACCATTTAAGCTTTGAGAACCAGGAATCCATACAAAACCAGGCTAAATTCAGGTTTGGGATTTGCAGAACGGAGACAGAAAAGCACAGAATGTCTTCCTTGGGTTTACAACATACAACAAAACATATTTATCATGCAAGACAAATTAAAAGTGCCAGAAGACTCCAAAACTAAAAAATAACACACCGATGGCCAGACGACTGCCCCGTAACAGTCAGTGGCTTCTGTAATTCTTATCTCATGGCCAGCAAAGTGAAAGCCTTCCCAGGCCTTATGAGTTATAAGAGCAGGAAAAAAACGCCTTTTCATGATTTCTGCAACTATCTGTTCATCTTCTTTTTCCCCTGGAAGCAAAAGTATAAAAGGTCAAACAGGCTGAATGGACTGATAATGAAACTATCAATTTATATAGAAAAGCTGATTTGGAAGTAAGAATGTGAATTACACCTGTGAATAAAAATACATTTCACCATTAATGGTTAGCATGATACATGGGAAGTCTCCTGAATTCTAACTGAAGTTTTCAGTTTATGACTAAATAATTTCTTTCCTGTTTCGCTGAAGAAGCCCAGTTCCTAAAAAGTAAGGAAGTGGAATGTTACCATATATTGCTTTCCATTTCAGCAATCCAAAGCGAATTTTTTAACTTCTTTTTCCCTTCAAGAACAGCTGCCCTAGTATAGACACTCATGGCCTTATGTGCCCGGATTTTTTATTATTTTCCATATCCTTTTGCTGTTTACTTTCCCCACATTATGGTTCTTTTTGACAGTAAACAAAAGGAGCCACAGTATCATTTATAAGTCTGTCACAAAACTTGTGAAACAGATCCTAGCAACACAAATTATGACAGACAGGAGGGAAAGCACTAGTGTTGTCAGGAAAGCTTATCCACCCACCCCAACAGAGCCCTGTCAGAGGGATTCTTTCCAGTTGGCTTGATATCCTGAATGCCATCCCTGTTGCTAAGCGAAGGATATTTATGATAGCTAACATAATCCCGGGTAACTCTTCTAACAGGAGAGCATTCATTCTTTTTTAGCTGAATACCAAGCCAGTTTCAGTTTTGCCATCATCACACAAAGCTGCACCACAATGTTACAAAAAAATATGTAAGTGAAGCTGTCCCGAGCATTTTCTTAGCAAAGTCTAGAATCATTCCAAGTTTTCACAGGAAATTTGCTTTCACAGCCAACTATAATCTCTTGGCAAATTAGCTAAAGCAAAATATGTTTACAAGCTACACCTCCTAGAAAGCATGCTAGAGATTTAGATAACTGGGTTACCATCTGGTCCAAAGCAGAGTTTCTCTATCAAGCCTGCAGTTACCATCAAAGTCAGATACCAAGATAGGGATCTGCACAGAAGCTGCAGGCCCAATGGCTACTAAAAATGAAAATAGTTATATTTTCATCAGCATAAACCACATTGGTCTTCTGAAGATTCTTCACATTTTCTTCCCCGCCAAATCACTGCAGTCACAGAACATGATGGCCTCAAGGATTGTCATTTGCTCTGCCATATGCCTCAATATTTTTATTGCCATAGCCTATTGACAAAGTGATAGAAAGACCAAGGAACAAAAGCAAGGGTGAACAAAGAAAGAGACACCAAACAAAAACACATCAGGAAGATGCTCATTAGCCGGTGCTTTAAGCTTGTAACTCTACTTACACTAAGCATTAGAGGACACTAGAGAATAGCAACAAACAAGGAAGAAAAAGCAAAAATGTTCATGTTTAATTTTAGTATGTTGACACTAAGACATAATCTGAAAGTTAAAACAAACAAACAAACAAACAACAACAACAAAAAACAACTAACCAACCCACAGTACTCCAAAAATTTATTGGGGAGGGGGCAGGGGGAACCCTAATCATGGGATACAGCAAAATTAAAAATAATGTAATGCATATACTACTGGAAAAAATATAAAGAGTATAATTTTATAAAGGTAACTTAAATAAAATAGTCAACATTGAAACTATGATATTTTAAGACGTTAGGAAATAAGTAGTATGTGGCAGCCCATTACATCTTCTGCAAGCCTCTAATGTTAAGTTGAGAGAAAACACATGTGTCGTCGTGCCTGCAAGGAGGAAACTCTGCACAAACATGAGTTAAGTGCCAGAGAACTGCTGCTCCACAGCAAAATTAATCTTTTCTTATGAAAGAATTAATATGAAGCTGTCTTATTACATGTATCGTAAGTGTATTTAATATTTCGTCCTGTTTCCAGGCATACCAGATATAGCCTGCTTTTAATCTTCTTTGATTGCTTAGAGCAATCTGATCTTGTTCTGTGATTGGTACTAGCTGTGGAAGTAAAAAGCTCTTCCTTCTATTACCTTCCAATTACAACCATTTTTCTTGATTCTTCCCCCCTTGACATCTGTTTTGGATCCAATTTTGTTGAGAAGCTGTAACTTATTAAGTGTTAACTTATAAAGCTTCTGCCTGAATATCTATAAAACTTTAGCAGTATTACAGCTACCCCTCTAGTGCTCAACAAACATTTCCCACCTATTCCCTACATTATCAGCAATCTTTCTACTTAAGGCTTGCATAGCACCTACACTAACAGAGGTTGTAGGCCACTGCTCCCTACCTGAGCTAAACTGTCCACACCCCTGAAAGAAGAATCCCAAATCTGCTGATTAATAACACTACTTAAATCTTTGGCCATCTTATCCCTTTGGTAATTCCCCCAGGTGTGTTATCTGGAAAAGTTTACATAATTTTTATATTTTTGTCTTCCCCTTAAGAAGATCTTACCATTGTGGAGAATCAAAAAGATTATTTGTTTCATCAGAGACATCATATAGTAGACAGGCTTCAAAATCCTAATGAGAAATTTTATCAGGACCAGGATGCTAATAATTCTGACAAAGAGTGCTGACAAAATAAGGAGTGCAGACTTTTAGTCAGATTTGTTTACTTACATACTGCAAAAGCCACTTTTCTATTTTCTGCTTTATATCTTTTAGAATAAATAAACTTCTTGTGGGACTGCACAAAAGGAAAGAAGTTAATTTTTCTGTAACTGCCTTCAGAGCAGTAAGAACAGAAAAACAACAAACTAGTGGGAAATCTTTCAAGCAACAAGAAAATTGTTATCAGAGTAAGCAAAATCCACGTGAGATGAAGTCTTTTAATACCTGCAAACATTGAGAAAGTTCTGCTGGTACTTTGATCAAAGTAGTTTCTTGATAACAGATGTAAAAAACTGACAGGAACTTATTCTCCTGGAAGTGTTTCTCTCTGTGTTAGTTCATATTCTCTTGTTCAGGAAGAAAAATCCTTGGAATTATGACTCAATTAATGGATTTTAATGATTTTAATGACATTTTAAGACAAGAGCTGACTCATCAGTAGAATAGGGTCAGACAAGAGAAGAGGAGGCTTGACTGACCTGGCTTTCAACTCTTCTAAGAATGAAAGTGCATAATGGGCATTTCCAGCAATACTACTCGAGCACCCATACTAAACTGTCAGAACTTGAAGGTCTGCTAGGACTGGTTCCTCACTTCTTCATTTGCCTGGGTTTGACCAGGTAGGTTTGCCCACACTCCTCTTCTGTGATTTGGAGAGGCATGGAAATGGTATATACATAGAATTACTTTCTTCAGCCTATTCATCTCTGCACAGAAACCACTGGAGTTTCAGGTGCTAGAACCTTATTTACATTAAGACGAGATAGTCTGATTCTGTTCAGGTAACATCTAAAAATTGAGATAATTTTTGTTAGTAAAACAGATAGTGCTCCTCTGGTCTTGAACTTGTGTTCACCAAGAAGTTCTCATCTATAGATGCCCCAAATTCTTCCTGAAATAGAATTTGAATGTCTTTAAGCTTCTTAAGACTTCCTGCCTAATAGGTTAATTTCTTATAGCATTCTTTGAACTATTTCAGATAAAGTATTGTTTATCATTAAAGTCTAACGTCTTTGGAGCATGTTCTTTGAAATCCCTTGATTTTAAGTTAATATCAGGGCTGAGGGAGAAAAGTCATATACTGCTGACACATCTTGCACTATTATCAACCACATCAGTAAGAAAACAGCGTGAACATCATTCTCAAAGGCAAAGCAATCATCATAATTACAACTGAAATGCGAACATAGTTTTCCAAAGAGACACACTAAATCATGTGGAAGACTGGAGTTGTGAAGTTCACGGCAGGTTAGTTAGAGAAACGCGTGTCAAGCTGCAAAATCTTGTGGATTTTGCTGACACATTCAAATGTCAAATGAAGTGGTTTATATTAGAACAAAACCTAAAGAAAGAAAAGGACGTGAATTCTGCTGAGACAGAGTTGGAGAAGTCCTTCAAGTGGGGAAGGGAAGGCAGAAAGAAAATAACAAGAGAGAGACCAGGTCAGAATGGAACAAGTTTTTTCTTTAACAATGAAGCAAATCACATGAATGGGCCTTAGGCTATCTTTATCTGCACACTTTTTGCTTGGAATGAGTAGAAATAGTACCTGTTTAGAAACGTGCAACATGATCAGCTGTTCCCTTTATACCAATTGTCACATAAAATCATGCTTGGGAGAATACAGCTCCATCAGGAAACGGTAACCTTAAAATTCAGTTGGGTATCTTCCATCAATTAATAGCATATGCTAAATCTCTCACTGTATAACTAATGATACTGCCTACATTAATGCATTCTCCACTGAATAAAAAGAGACAGGCACTGTTAAACAGCACTTAAAATGGAGGAAAAGCAGCAAAGACAAGGGGGCTGAATTAAAATTATATTTTTAAAAAAATAGATACCCCTCTCTACATACCTGAATTAAAATGTGGCTTAAAAAAGGAAGTAAAATGACCCTTCCACATAAAAGCTGTGAAGCTCGCAGTCAATATCTTTATTTTCAGACTCATTCACAAATAGCACACAGAGTTACAAAACACCCTCCAAGTACTTTGCTAACAGATTAGGACAGCATTAATTCAGAAACAACAGTTTTACCCAATGATTCATCAAAACAACCTTCAGGGGAAAAAATACAGATTAGTCTCTTTCAAGTGCTGGTCTGACCCTACTTAATTTCTTGAGGTCAAATGGTGTCACAGCCCAAGGTGATAAGGAAATAAGACCCAGCAGTCTTCTGCTTCTCTCCTGCTTTGATGGATCTTCTCCAGCTGGCAAAAGAAATGAAATCCAAGCCTTCAGCATGAAGTTGACCTGACAAAGTTCAGCCCTACAGCAACATATTCTCCCTTCTTCAGAAGCAGCATACTTTCATCTGTAGGGTTTAGATTTAAAATTTACCATTTAGACTTGTACTTATAAATATTTTAAGAACCATGTATCAACAGCTGTGAAGACGTACATGG